CTACTGAGAGGCAGCTCTGCTTCTCGCCAAGTGATTTTACCTTTTTTATGTGGTTATCTTTTGTCTGTATAAGTTCTTTGGTTTTGCATGGGTGATTGAGGAAGAGGCCTCAGAAGCCGAAATCTGGCTCGCTGTCAACAGAGCAGTTTTAAATTTAAGCACTGAATCAGTCAAAGTGCAGTTTCGCTCCCACACTAGTTCCCTTCTTGCAGAGTGAGAGCAACTGGAATCAGATTACTTAATGGCTCAAAGGGGCACGCATTGAATAGCTTGGGCCTAAAATTTAATCGCCATAAAATAGTTTTTCTTTATTAAAGGCTTGTTCTTGGGATTATTGCTATTACTCTTATTATTGTTGAGCGTTTTATTAAAGGACTGTTTTTGTTAGTATCTGAAAAGAAGCCAACCTGTTTATTAAATTGTCCTACTCCTACTCAGTGCCTCCTGTGCTCACCAGTTTCAGCTGAAAGGTCATGCAAGATGTCACTATGTGGCCAGATCCTGTAGTGATCCTAATTTTGCAGAAAAGTCAGTTAGAATCATAGATTGATAGAATTGTCTAGGTTTGAAAGGGACCTTTAAGATCATCTAGTCCAACCATCAACCTAACTCTGATAAAAAACCATCAGTCGTGCCAATAGAGAACCCACTGCTGTGATTTTTGGCCAAGGGGTTTCCCCTCCTCTTGTAACAGAAGTAAGAGCTTCGCAGACAGGAGCATCCAAAGACAGGGCAGACAGCAGATCTGGAGACCTTCCAGCTCCCTCCTCTCTGGGCCACCCTATCACCTGCGGGTCGGGATTCTCTCCTGCTTGCTTCAAGTGTCATGCAAGACCTACTTTTTAAAACAAATTCAGTTTGTAAAACTCAGAAGAATCTCACCCTGATAAACCAAAAAAAAAAAAATTAAAAAAAATCAAGCCCACACCAACCAACCAACAAAACAGAAGATGGAGCCAGAGAGCAGCTTTTAAATCAAATTGCCAGAAAAGAAGATGGGGGATCCAATTTGCTCCAACTCCCAAGCTTCCAACGAGGCTGCAGATGAGGAATTGGAGCAAGTCCCCCAGGTCTCTGGTGTGGTACGAGGGCACAGAAAGTGGCTCCACTGTGTGTGAACACATCAGTTCCGACCAGAGCTGCTTCTCCCCAGAGGTCATCTGTCATCGTCCTGTACATGAAGACATCAGCCTCTATTACTGCTCATAGACCAGGCAGCCTAATGCTGCTCTGCCCAAATCAAAGGAGGGAGAGGCAACCCGCGTCAAGAAAATACAGGCCAAAACTAACAGAGGGAAGGATGTTTCATTCACCGTGGTGTCACGCAGAGAAATGACACTAAGAAACAAAGATGAGGTAATAATAATTCAATATAAAGTCAGCTGCATTTTTCAGCTTGTTTTTCACTCTGTGCTACTGATGGAACTTTATTCCAAGAAAGTTCAAATAACCCAAGAATACCATACTAGTAACCACACTCTTTACCAATTCAGAATTTATGAAGAAGAGCCTTTAAATGAAGTAGTCATATGAATTTCTTTCCTTTTATGCTTACCTGCAAAAGGCACATACCAGCCAAGCATCATATAATTCTTAACCCTACAATTTTTTCTTGAATGTGGAGAAAGTAACTGAATTTGAATCCAAGAAAAGCAAGCTTATTTAGTTCTAAGTCATCTTGCTTTTGGCACTAGCAATATTTTTAATCCATGCAATTTGACCTGAAAGCTATGAAAGACAATGAAAAAAAATGGATAAGAAGTATTTATAAGATTTAATTTTTCTTAGGTTTTCTCTTTTTTTTTTTCAATTATATGGGGAAACACTTTTCTAATTTTGCTTCTGTAGGTACTTGTTAAACTTGATGTCTATAGTGATTCTAACTTGAAGTCTTTTTGTCTATTAGTTTTCGTCCTTAGGACAAAATTGTTTTTTAAAAGTTTTTGATTGAATTGTGTGTGACCGAGATAGATCTGGGAAAACACTCAGGTCTTGTTGGTAATTTCAGGGCCTTTTCCACCATTGTGACAATGTTCTTTTAGCCTGTCGGGTGGAATGCAGGAGGAAGCTCCGGGTTCCAGTGTCACTTGGAAATCTTTCTATTTCTTCTCTGCTCCCCTTCCTCCTCTCCCCAGTTTTCCATATATTGTTTTTTCTTCCCTCAGTCATAGCAAAAGTGTTTTTGTGTACAACAAAACCATTATTTCCCCATCTTATAAGGGAGAGTAGAGCACTGACCTCAAGTTTGGACACCTGGCAAAGTGATGTACTAGACCTCAGGACACCTTTCTATTATTCAAGTCCGTTCCTGGTCTTGCGGAGGAAATCACCGTTACAGATAAGTTTTAAAACATGCCCTTAAGATTTTTATCTGGACTGGCTGCTGGAGCCTGTCTTGCATGGTGGTGTGGGTCTGGGTTTTTTTTGTTGTTTTTGTTTTTTCAAAGAGTAACTTATTTCCAAACCTTTTTATAAAGCGTATGTTTGATTTTGGCATATTATTATTTGGCTTTGGTCCAAAATGCATGTCCCTCTTTCAGTGTTTTCCTCCAAACAGTGTTTTAAACCTTGAAGGAATAGTGTTGGACCTGAAACTGTTTAAGGATGTATGAGAGACAAGGTTAATAGGGAAATGTATTATGACTCAATAGGCAATCGAAGAAAATCGAGCCCATTTGGGGGATACGTAGGACCTACTTCCAGTCCTGTGAACTATGCCTTTGCCAATCAAGACACTCGTTTTCTCAATTACTTGCTTCCTTAAAGGCCTGTTGGGCAAAAAGTATTCTGTGTATCCCAAGAGCCAGCAGTCTGTTGTCTCCCACATACTCTTAGCCCCTGTTTAGCTGTCAGCGATGCACAGTGCCTAGTCTTGAATGCAAACAACTGCAAAAACAGCAGACCTTGCCAGACTTCGGTTTTAAAAGACATTCTTAGATACACATCCATTCTGAAAACTGTCAAGTGTACGGCCGTCTTCAAAGAATATCTCACATTGCCTCATCAAGTAGCAACACAGGCATTCCTAGGACCACAGGATCATCCATAGCGGTAAGAGGATTGGTCTTTGCCTCTTTAGTAGTAGTTCCCTTCTAAGAATTGTGAGAAAGACATGTTATCTGGTGCAATCACACATCCTCTGGGAAATAGCTTGAGACTGCAGATTCATTTCCTATAAGCTATTATACACCCATGGGCTGTTGCTGACCAGACCTTTCCCTCCACAGGGAACCTCGAATAGTTTAGTTGAGTAAAGCTTAAACATCTTGCTGCGGTCCTGCAGATAATGCTTGTTTGTTTCACGTAACACAGATTTCTAAACATTGTGAACATTTTGTTTCTGTCCCAAAGAATTCACTATATCTTTCTTCTGTTGCCTGTATCTACTACATAGACAACGTTAAGTGCCGAGTGGGCAATCAGGATTTGTTCTGTTGCTGGCGCTGCTATATATTTCTCACAGAGAAAAACTAAACATTTGATCTTTGAGTTTTTCATACTTGAACTCTCACAAAAATTCTCCTCAGTTTTTCTGCTGATGGGCGGGAGCACTGAATTTTTTTAATGGAGAGCTGCTGCTTGTCGGCTTAGTGTGGGTAAATTTAAAGTTACAGCTGAAATAACGCTTTCCAATCTGCTGAAAACTTCTGCAATGTAGGACAACAGTTCAGACACTGAGCGTGATTCTCCAGAATCTTTTGAGGCAGATTATGAAAGTTTGGCATATACCTCAGGAGGAAGTGCTTTCTCACTGGCTTTAGCACAGAGCTTTGGATAAGTTGCCCGACCTTCTTGGACCTTGACGAATCTGTCAGGAAAAGGGAGTGAAAAGTAGCATCTTGCTGAAAACGAGCTGCTGGAAGTCTGTTGCGTTTCCCTTGGGAATAAGCTCTCTGATGGTGAATTTCTACAGTTTTAGAAACTGCAAACCTGCTGCCAGGCCCTGCCTGCCCAAGGCTTCTACTGGCCCTTACCCGGGCTGGCCCCGTCTTCTATTTCATCCAATTTCAGCATCGAATACTGAAATCCACGTAGAAACTTTTAAATTATGGAAACCTCGCACAGTGCAGAACACACCACAGAAAGTTTAGTGCAGGTTTGCCATTTTCTGATGGCAGGAATCCTATCTTTACCTCACGTGCTGACCTTCAGTCCCAAGATAAAGTCGGACAGGAAAATAGTAATGTAAATAGCGGGAAGCAATCGCCCCGTTTAATCTTTGCTCCCCTTTCTTTCACAAAAGGGTCGATAGCAATAAATAATACCCCTACTCTGTGTATATTGGCGTCTGCACTCCGGGTGAACGACCCCGCTTTGGGACAACTGCGGGGCGACAGAGGGGCAGCCGAACCCTGCCAGGAGAGGAGCACGGGGCGTCTCCAGTCAGAAGCGGGACGCGTTTACCCGGCTGCCCCCTGAGGCCTACCCGCGCTCGGCCCGGACAGCCCGCACCCCTGGGAGAGCGGCCGTGAAGGAGATGTGTGTTTAAACCGCCGTCTGCTCGAAGGTTTTCCTTCACAGAGGCGCCGCACCGCAACCCCACCACACAACATGGCGGCGGGCGGCCGCCATTTC